ACAGCATAGCAATTGCTATGAAATATGTTATGATTTCTGTATGTGTGTCTTATTTTTACACAACAGAAGCAGCCCACCTTAGCTTCAAAATCATTAGAATACTTGGGGAATAAAGTGATTTTTAATCCCACCGAATCACTGGTTTCTGAATAATTTTCAATCAAGTATAAATTGATACGTAAATGTTGGTCCGAAGGTGATAATTCAAGTTTTCTAATTGCCAATTATAGAATCATTTTTTGAATTTAGAATTGTCCTTCTGGCTTGGTTGGCAACCAGTGCCAGGGATCACAGTCTGCTCTGTTATTTAACCCATAGCTGGAGGAAGAGAAAAGACAGAATCATGCCTTTCCAGAGGATATTTGTGCAAAAGTGAATGCAAAGAACTTGGATGGAATTCAAACTCTGTGAAATGATTTCTTGTTCCGAGCTGCATGATCCTATTAACGTTATGCCACCTGCATGACCCTATTAACGTTACGCCACCTGCATGACCCTATTAACGTTACGCCACCTGCATGACCCTACTAACGTTACGCCACCTGCATGACCCTACTAACGCGCACGCCACCTGCATGACCCTATTAACGTTACGCCACCTGCATGACCCTATTAACGTTATGCCACCTGCATGACCCTATTAACGTTACGCCACCTGCATGCCCCTATTAACATTACGCCACCTGCATGACCCTATTAACGTTACGCCACCTGCATGACCCTATTAACGTTATGCCACCTGCATACCTCTATTAATGTTATGCCACCTGCATGACCCTATTAACGTTATGCCACCTGCATGACCCCATTAACGTTACACCTGCATGACCTGCATGACCCTATTAACGCTATGCCACCTGCATGACCCTATTAACGTTACGCCACCTGCATACCCCTATTAACGCACGCCACCTGCATACCCCCTATTAATACCTGCCACCTGTATAACCCCATACCTACATACCCCTATTAACGTTATGCCACCTGCATACCTCTATTAACGTTACGCCACATGCATACCCCTATTATTATCACATTACATGCCTGCCCCTATTATCATTATGCCACATGAATAGCCCTATTACTGTTATGCCACATGCATATCCCTATTATCACTTATAGATTATGAATGCTCCCTGAATATTACAAAAGAAAACTAATCAATTATGCCAGATGCATACCCCTAATATCATTACACCACGTACATATCCCTATTACCATTATGTCACATGCACACCGCTACTATTATTCCGCTAAATACATACCCCTATTACCATTATGCCAACTGTATACCCCCATTAACATTATGCCACCTGCATACCCCTACTAACATTACACCACCTACATACCCCTACTACTCTTATGCCACATGTATACCCCTAGTATCATTGTTACATGCATACCCTTATTAAAGTTATGCTACCTACATACCCCTATTAACGTTATGCCACCTGCATATGCCTATTAACATTACACCACATGTATGCCCCTATTAATGTTACGCAACATGCATACCCTACTATCATTGCACCACATGCATACCCCTATTATCATTATGCCACATGAATAGCCCTATTACTGTTATGCCACATGCATATCCCTATTATCACTTATAGATTATGAATGCTCCCTGAATATTACAAAAGAAAACTAATCAAAATTTAAATAAAAAATTGTTGCCTAATTTTCCACTTATATTTTATTTGGTTATTTGATTTTGTTTAGCAGCATATCAACAAGTATGGCTTATTTAATGCTGAAATTAAATATTACGTTCACCATTTTATTTTATTTCCAGAAATAATGATATTTTTGTGATTCAAGTCTTAATAATTAACATAGCTGGAGGGAGGAGAGGTGGATTCATACATCACTCAAGGATATTTGCACATAAGGGAATATAACAAACCCAAATGGAATTGGAACTTATCTCCTGATGTCTCTTAATACTTTTGTTTAACTTTTAGAAGTTTTTTTTTTGCTATTCCAATGTAACTTTGAATTTCTACATCACTTATTTTATCCAGCAGCAGATAAAGGGAATGTTTTGGTTGATTTGTTTTCCACAGCTAATAACCACTTGCAGGCTATTTAAAGTTAGAAAACATTTTAAGAATTGAGATAATAATGATTTATCAAGACAGGCAAGCAAGGACTTGTCAGCTAAAGCCCAGATATGGCAGCAATACTCCGTTTTTGATTCATTTTTTTTATGGCTTATCAATCCTTTGCAGATTATTTAAAGGCAGTAAATATTTTTAGATTGTAAGAATTGTTTGAAAATAATAATTGTTTAGTGATGCATGTTTTATTAATTAACCCATAGTTTGGGGAGAAGAGGTGGATTCATACCTTTCCCAAGGATACCTGTGCATAAATGAATATAACAAACCCAGCAAGAGTTGGAGCTCGGCTCTATGATTAACAATTCAGAGCTATTTTCCATTTCAATACCCGCAAATCCAAGCTTACAGAACCTGGTATTCCCATCTAGGTACTGACCAGGTTTGATGTTGCTTAACTTCAGTGATCATACAGGAACTGGTATTTCAATGTGATGTGGGTGTAAGCCTTATATTTTATGATTAGTTTCTGTGTCATATGACAAAAAAAAAATACACTCTTAACAGATGAATGAAAATATCGCCTTGAATGTCAGGAGGCCAATTCTTATATCTATTTTTAGCATCTACAATGATTTTGTAAATTACGTCTTCCCTATAAACAGGATTTCTATATATAATGGCTAAATAAGAATAAAACTGCTAGAAATTTTTGCTTACCTTTAGTATTTTGACTGGAAGCCATTGATATGCCACTGTTATTGGTAAGTATGATAAACCTATAAGCTATTCTGAAATTGTAAATTGATTGAAACTGGGGAACCAATCTCTTCTTAAAAATAGATTCTTTGAATCATGGGTAATCCTGCCTTTACAATTGCAATGAAAACTGCCTGGAAGAATCACCTGTAATAATGATCAGAAAAAGAAGGAATTGTTTACTTATGGAAGTAAATTTTTAAATTACATGTATGCCATTGATTTTCAAGCACTTCAGGGTTTGGGTTTTTTTTTTTTAACAAAAAAAAAACATTTCCAGAATAATTTTCCACATCAACTGAGATCAAGTAAATTCTCCTGCAATAAAATATTGAAATTTCTTAGACATATAATAAGGAAAGAGGGCTAGGAGAATGTGACACTCACAGACATATTGAAAGCAATAAGGATATAGGTAATCCGTGATTAACTGCTCTAACAAGCTTGTGTAAATGGATGGCAGAACAAGATCTGGGAGGAATGATGTAAAGACAAATTTTACTAAGAGCTGCAAAGGATGGGAAGTTATGGAGATCCATGATCACCCACGTCCTGTGACATATCACATAGAAGATATATGATGTTAATATTGCATTCTTTTTTTCTTAATATAAATGATGACTAATTGTATTTTTTGGGGGGGGTTAGTATTAGTGTTGACAGTGGCCATGCTATGTATTGTCACTGAAACTTGCAATTTCAAGAGGTTTTATAAAAATAATTACAATTTCCAAAAATAAAATGATTAGCAGAAAAAAAGATAGTATGCTTATATTAAAATTTTTACTTAACACTTTAGATCAGTGCTTCTTGAATGGTATGCAGAAGTGGACAGCAGATGAGGCAGAATTCTTGAAAGACAATCAAAAATTTAGAAACAGTTTTAAAAAATTCATATGCCAAAAATTAACGAGATTTCAGAATTTAAAATATAATTATGGATTACTTGCAATTACATGCACGAGACTCAGTATAAATAATTATAAATAATTAATGAACCAATATTATCATTGTGATATTTTGTATTATATCAAGTATTAAGAATATAGGTCGACAAATTGGAGGAGAAAGTTATCAATGATAATGTTCTGACTTTGAATCCGCAGTTATCTCCCTTTAACCCTCACTCTGGACTTTCTTTGCTATAGGGATGCTTGTGCCATTTCACCAGGAAATCTCATGCAGAAGTGTGTGTCAACCACAGTGATCGTATTCTACCAAGATTTCACTTTTATAATTATAGAAAAATCTTTTCTCAAAAAAAAAAAAAAAAATTTTAATTTCTGAGACAGGTAAGCTAATTATCTATTCTAAATGCCAGTAATTTAATTCAAAGGTTAAATAACTTATGGTCAGAAAATTCTTTTGATTAAAAAAAAAAGGTCAGAAAAGATGTTATTTAAAAAATGCATCATGGTCTTGAAGCCTTATCATGCAGGGCATGTGATATGAGATATCATATGCATATCAGAAATAGTTCAGAATTCCTGCTTAGCATTTGCATACAAGATTGCAAAAAGAAAATGTTCATTTTGGAGATAGACTCATTGATTAAAAATGTGGATTTGGGTCCCAAGTTCATTTGATTGTCATTACATAAAAAGATAAACCTTTATCCATAAATATGGACTGCTTTTACAATAAATTTTACTATAAAACAGAAACCTTATTCATTTGTTTAGTTGTTGCATACATAAGGTATAAAGGCAGTTAGGCTATGATGATGATCTTATAGGAATGGATGGCAGAAAGGGGTGGGAGGGATAGTAAATAGACAAACTTCATGGATATCATGGAGAGCTGTGATCACTCACATCCTGAAGAGACATAAAAATAAAAAAAGAATGCTTGAAATACTGACTCTGTATACACATATATGCATGTGTGCATGTCTGTAAGAGAGAGAAAATGAATATGTAAAAGAAAGTGTGCTTATGTGATTGTGTATATATGTTAAAGAAGGATATTGTTTTTTTGTGTGAGTGAGCGTATACAATGTGTATAAGTGCTTAGTATGAGTATGACTGAGTCTCTGCTGCTTTTTAAATCAAACGCCCATTGCATATTTGATGTCTTCAATTCATAAGATAATTCTAATATGATATTTTCTTCTCTGCCTCTCTCACCGGCCTGTCCATTTTTTTATATTCCCAAAACTGCTTTGACAATTCTTCTTAGATTATACCAACATTATTCTTTTTGCTGTTCTTTTCTTATGTGAATCACTTCTCTCTATTCTTTCTTTTCTTTTCTCCCATTCTTTTTCTATCATTTCCACCCTTTCTTCTATTTCTCTTTCCCTTTCTCCTCTTTTCTCCTTATCCTTCCCCCCTCTCTAACACTTATCTTAAATTCTTTATTTCTTGCTTTTTTTTTGTCTTCTCTCTTTCATCCTTTCAGTTTCTCACCTATTTTGGCTTCAACCCTTGCCATTTTCTCTTTCTTTGTTTTTATTGTTTTCATACATTCTTTTAGCTTCTTACAATTTTTTTCCCCTTTTTTAGATATAAACAGCCAACTATGGCAGCTGAGAAAAGGGGATATTTCCTAACTGTACCAGTGCTTAGTGTATGAGCTCTGGTAAAAAAATCCAGACTTGAACTGATTATGTTCAAGGCCTCTCAGCAGTCACCATTTAGAAATGTGGTGATAGATAGACAGACATACATAGAAATATATACATATACATATACATAGATATAGATAGATATAAATATATAGAAATACATACATATATAGATATAAATACATAGATATAGATAGATAGATATAGATAAATAGATATATGAATATAGATAAATAGATAGATATAAATATATATATATAGATAGATAGAAATAAAATATATATATATATATATATATATAGATAGATATAAATATATATATATATATATATATATATATATATATATATATATATATATATAGATATAAATATATATATATATATATATATAGATAGATATAAATATATATATATATATATATATATAAATATATATATATATATATATATATATAGATATAAATATATATATATATATATATATATATATATATAGATAGATAGAGAGATATAAATATATAGATAGAAACAAATAGAGATTTACAGATAGATACAGATAAATAGGTACATACTGACAGATAAACAGATAAGTAGATAAATATAGAGAGACTGATAGCTAAATATTTTGTTATAAACAGACTGATAGAAAGGTTGGTTAGATTGATATGAACAGACTGATGAATAGATATATAGAGATGTGAACGGGCTTGACAGGTAGAACTACATAGACAGATGGATCAAAATGTCCATTGATTTAATTTTATATAATTATTTATTTTTAAGCATAATTTCCTTCTTTGTCAATATACAGTTAACATAATGCTTCTCCAATTGTCAAATAAATGGAGCATTATATAAGGAATATTCTCGATCAAAATTCAACTACATTTGCATCAAGATACTAATTGATCCCCTCTTTTATGTGTTGATATGCCTATGTTGAGCACTCTTTTTACAGGTGCAACATTCTGTCCTTGCCTTTCTTTCCCATTTTTTTCTCTTTCATTGTGCCACATCACTTCAGAATGGGGACGATCATAGCTCTCCACAACTTCCTGTATTGATCAGCTTCTTGAGCACCCTTTCTTTTAATGGTTGTTTTTTTTTCAATAGAACATGATTCAGTTTTGTTTATCGACCCCGCTATCTACCAACAGCACCATGCCCCTCCTTTCTGCAAATTTTTCTGCCCCTATCTCTGTTCTTTTTCTTCCTTTTTCCAATGATTCAATTATAAACAATTCTTTGAAGGGTGTCATGCAAAGAACAACTTAGTGTGGATTAAATTTTATTCTCATGCATTTATCGAGAAAAGATGTCTATTTATTTATTTCAAGCACAATTTGCTTTTATTTTTCCTTTCACTATTACCAGGAAAAAATCTTGGCTATTTACAGCTGAACAAATGCAAACAAACAGAAAAACATATATCAAAATGTTTACCAGGTATTTGAGAATACATATTTAGTAGGCCATAAATGGAAGAGAATTTCATGTTATGTTGTAATGTTATGCCAAATTCTAACATTCTTATTTATTTCAGATGTATTGAGAGCATTAACATGGAAGCTCCTAATATCATACAGGAAATAGCACTAGCTATCAACCACAGAGATAGCCATCTTCTTGAAAGTAGCCATTTCTTTTTGTTCAAGGCTGGAGTCCTCTGATGAATATATGGCATCTGCAGTGAAAAAGAATGAAATATTCTGAGCAGTATATAGGTTCACTTATCATCTGGTTTTCACTCTTTCTTGGTCTTTTAAACAGGAGTAGATAAGTTCACCTATAATCTGGTTTCAACTTCTGCTTGGTCTTTTGAACAGGAGTAGATAGATTCACCTATCATGTGGTTCCCACTCCTTCTTGGTCTTTTGAACAGGAGTAGATGTTTATCCTTTGTTTCTAGTTTAGAACGAGGTTTCTGGTTCCTTCTAAAGTCTGCTTCATTTCTGAACTCCTAATGTCTACACTTGAATGCTGAAATTTTATTTACTATTTATTTCATTTTTTTATCTCCCCCAACAACAAGAATAGACAGGGTTACCTATCATCCGGTTCACACACCTCCTCAGTCTTTTTTACAAATGTAGAGGTTTATCTTGTGTTTTGTTATATTCCGTATTTAGTTACGTGGGCGATGTGAAATCAATGTGGGCGAAATACTGCGTTTGGTTGCAAACAATGGAATTCAGAATCGAAAGAACAAAAAAGACTGTAGATATATTTTATAGTCTCTTTTAGTGAGGAAAATAAGAACAAAAGTTCATATTTAAGAAGTTGAGGGAAAGGTACCCTTTGACAAGGCGTCGGAGGAGAGTTCAATAGCAGCAGCAGTCACATGCTTCGTTTCGTCGCCGGGCCAGTGTGTCAGGAGCGAGCGACGTGACCCTTCTGTCTCCGCCGTTGAGTGGCACTCCTTTTGACTTTCCCGTGTTCTTATACATCGGCTCCAAATGGCAATTTTTTGAATACGTGGGAGACGGTCCGATTGGTTGATTTAATTCTTTTCATTTTTTTTTTTTTTTCAAGTTTATCCCAAACGGAAGTATCTGCGTCGAGCCTATGCGTAGACGTGTAGTTTTCATTTCGAGTCGGGGACTCGTGATGGTAACTTCCGTTTATCGAAGCAGTTTCCTGTTTAGAATTTAGTATCTGGTTCTTTCTAAAGTCTACTTCAGTTCTAGATTTCTAATATCTCTCAAATTTGAGTTTTTTTTTATTTTGTTTTTTTCTCTTTGATAGTAGAAGATAGGTTCCTGTACCATTAAGTTCACATTTCCACTCTTCTAATTCTTCTTTTGAGCAGGAGTAGAGGTTTATACATTGTTTACTCTTTAGGACTGGGTTTCTAGTTCCTTCTAAAATTTTCTCATTCTTTTTCACTCCCAGTACTCCCTTGTCTCTTAGTGGCATTATTGCCTTACTTGGCATGAATTCATTACAAAAAAAAGTAAAACCTTATAAAGAGGGCCAAGTTTATGTCTAGGATGACATCAACCATGATATCAACAGGATCGAGGAAAGGATAAAAAGAGAAATGGAGGAGGATAAAAAGAAGAATGGGAATCAAGGCAACAGAAGATATTGATTGACATTACGTTTAAATTTTTGAAGATTATAGTTATCAGGATAGCAAGTAAGAAGAAGGGAGTTACACTGTTGGGAAGTGCAAGAGAAGAAGCAGTTACATTTAACTGTTTTAACAGTAAAAGAGTGGGACCAATATGCCAATCTAGTAGCACACTTAAATTCATGCAGTTGGGGCAAAAGTCAAAGCAGATTCCATGAGAATATTTATAGAAAAGACAGAGGGAAGACACATAACAATGGTGAGAAAGTGACTGGAGTCAAGACCTCAAGTCAGAACAAATCACATCACATATACTCAGTCTTTTCCCTTAGTTACACTCTATGTAGCCCCTTGCATACTAGTACTTCTGCCTTGTTTGGAGTGAAATGCTTAAAAAAAAAGTTAATAAAGATCCTCACCAAGGATGTCATGTGCATGTAGACATAAAATACAAGTTGTATGTTGACAAGAGGGTAGTTCTGACCAACAAGAACCAAGAGCACTGTGGGATCTACTTCCAATATTAAAGCACCTTTTCCACTGGTGAAACATTGCAAAAACTATTGCTACTGTTTCTATGGTAAATGTTCAGACAAGCTAAATTCCTTAGTTCCACCAGTTCATATCTTCACAGCTAAGATCTGCCATGCCAGCTACACTGGGTCAACTCATCATCAGTTTCACCATATTTCATTTGAACTAGGCTTGCTGATTCCAGTTTCCATACTGATAACATAGTGTTACCTGCACACATACATACATACATACATGAGACTTGGCCACTACTCCAGAGAGGAGAGACTCCACAGTGACTTTCATCTTCACTGTCCGAGATGCATTCTGGGCATCATTGGTTTCAATGGATCACAAATGCACAGTTCAGTTATGTGCCATGCGAGATACATGCTTAGGCAATCATGTATCTTTCGATACGACTGATGAGGCAGATTTTTTTCCTGCAGTAGGTTGCCATTGCTTTCTGCAGTAGACAAGTTGCCACCCAAGGCTATAGAACCCAATCTGTCCTGCTATTTACCCATAGCTGGGGGAGTAGATGATTCATACCTTTCCCAAGGGTATTAGCACGTAAGTGAATGTAATGTATCTGATTGGAATTCGAACTTGGTTGTCCAATTCCTAATCCGAGCCACTATCCATTACTCCACCGTCCCAGTTACCCAGGCTATACATCTTAATCCAACAGTGCCAACTCCACTGGCTTGGAGATGTAAACGACATGCCAGATGGGAGAATTCCAAAAGTCCTTCAGTATGGGGAACTGTCCTCTGTCATGAGGGTAACATCATGTTCGCTTTAAGGATATCTCCAAAAAGGACATGGGGGTGATGGACATGGACATTTAGAGGTGGGAAGACTTTGCCAACAATCGTTCATGTTAGAGATATGATTTACACCATGGGTTGGAATGAGGAGAACAGAAACAAGGGTTTGCCACTGAGGAGAAGCATGCTTGGCAGAAAGAAAACAAAATGGCGATATCAGGGGAGAGCATTCTCACATGCATTCATTGTGAATGAGATTGTTACTTATGTATGGGGCTGTACAGTCATACCAGATGCTGTGCCACAATCAACAGCTGGAGTATAACTGTTTGGGTACAGATCCAAGGTCTTTCAACCTTTCTACTCACATTAATTCCCATTTAGCCATGATTCAAATGTATAAGATAAGTTTTGTGAATATTATGATTGAGGAAGTAAGGGAAAAAGACAAGGAAAGAAAGAAAAGGAAAAGGATGAGGAAAGAATGAAAAGAAATAGATTGAGGAAAGAATGAAAAGAAATAGATTGAGGAAAGAAAAGAAATAGATTGA